TACCGTAATATGAATGTACATAACGTCCAGGATATCTGTATGCAAGGTGATATAGGCTATCTATCTTTGTATTATTGTTACTACTACCCAGTAAGTAGGCTACTTATAGCCGTGTTTCTAAGACATATTTAATTAGAAGGTCGTGCAAAAAGGCCCATATTATACGAAGACTACGCAGCACATGATATATTTATAACTTGTAAGTGTTCCACTTTATTTTTCGTTCTATATAAATATAATCACCGGTTCATAAACGGGTAACCGGTCCATTGATGAATTCAATATTAATCAATTTGAAATATGGGCGGTGAAATTTACAGTAATTGTGTTTTGTAAATAAACGTACACACATAAATAATAAGCGGATTCGGCAGAAATAATCATTATTATATTGTCATTAACAAAAGCGCTAGATCGTATAACGGCAACAACGGCGGAGCAATTTTCTTAGAAAAATTAGTATGCCACTATCATTTATCATAATCAAAATCATGACTTCTGCAAGAGTCTACAATAATAGATGTTTTATTTTTCTCGTTGTTTTTTGCGGTCGCGGTGATAATTATCATATATTTGAGTAAAAAAATTGTACAAAGACCCATCTTTGTTAAAACCATTTTGAATTATTCTTGTAATTACTGTGGTCGATTTTCAAATGTATTATTGCATGCATATCTGAGTCGTAGCTTTTTTTGATCGCGTGGAAAGGTCCTCGTGTGCGTTAACTTTAACTAAACTAAAAAGCCATTAACTAATATGTCTGGCAAATCGATTCAATGGCCCGTTCTACAGCGACAGTCTCATTGTAACAAGATAACAATGCATTTGTGCTAAATTACCGATACTCTACTGTTGTTGTTTTAGATATCAGCGTCGTCGTTGTTGTCATCAATGCTATGATCCTCGTATTTTTTATATATGCCGTGTAAAGAATATAAGTCCGCACCTATCTGATAAATATATACACACTCTATTAAGGTTAACTATATTTCTAATAATATCATTATCATTATCATCGATTATATCTGTTGGACTTTGTTGTGTGTGTGGGTGCATGCGTGTGAATGTATGTGTGTATGAATGAGTGTAGGTGACATGGATATCTTCTCAAAGCAACAACAGAAAAACTCTGGTCAATCTGAGCTGTATCGATTTCAGCCCAGATAACGTGGTGAACAAACAATCATTATTATTACTAAAAAGTTCTTGTACCACTTTGCCATTACAATGACATTTATATTATTAGTAGCATTATTATAAGACACATGCGTATCTGTTCGATTATTTCAAGTTGCGCATTACTGAAGATATGTTGAGTTGAAGAATGACCGATAGCAAGTGTGCGGTTGTAATAAATGGTGGGGCAAGCACGAATTGTGTTGAACTTAGGAAAGGCAAAAATCTTTCTATATTTGACAATTCTGAATGGTATGTCGTATTCAAGCTCTAAGTTAACAACACAGCGAGACTGTTTCATATTTACCGTATGGCATTCAACGACGATAAACAAATTATATCGACAATGAAATAAAAAGCAATAGAGTAAAACATGATGAAGGCTGTTAAAACTGAGCAAAATGTTAAAACATTTGTTGATGTATTTTAATATAGAGTATCATTATTGTCTCATTTTGACAGCCAATCGTTCACCAAAGTCGAGAAAAGAAAACTTAATTTCTCTGTGATACTTCCTAAGCTGTAAAATGAAATTAGCTCTTTGTAAGTGGTACAACTACTTTCCCACTTCTCCCCTTTTTTGTGTTTTGCTTGAAGACAACTCAATTTACAAGGTAACTTGCTGGAGTTGTGGGCGATTTCATTATCAAAGCTAATTGCTGGTTAGCTTAACCAGGTGCAGGTTAGTCAAATTTTTTGTTTTTTACGATTTACTATTGGCAGCACCCCCATCCGATGGACAGCGACACGAAATGGTAACTATTCAGTAATAGAATGCTCAACAGCTTAATTATAATGAACATCTTTAATTTTTCTCATGCAAAACTTCGATGTGTCCAGTGAAGTGTACCGATCGGTATATGTTACCATTAAGTTAGAGGAGAAAGGATTTAAGCTGTATGAAGCAGGAGAAAGTACTGAGTCGCCTTACACGTCAACTGCTTAGCGCTAGTCGCGAAGTTACCCTAGTACAAATTTAGCCTGTTTCATACCGTTTAGGTGTACTTGGGTCGAGGACCAGGGTTGCAACGAAGTTTAGTTGTTCGGATGCCGTCATTAGTACCGCTTGCACTAACCTGACACCTATGCTGCGGGAGAAGTGAGCTTTTCACTTGCCGTACCTTGATTTGTAACACACCCACTGAAGAAAGGAGTTTACATGAACAGGCGATTTCAGTGGAAAACTAAGTACAATGCACCCACGTGCACGCTGCTGTTAGAAAAAGAGGTAATCAAGTTAAGATATAATTCATAAACCACACGTAAGTGTGACTCTCTTTCTCTTGGATTTTATGAGCCGTCTCTTTCTTCATATTTGACAGATGATTGATACACGATTCTATGAATATTTGTTGCTGACGTGCGAATGGTTAAGTCAGTCGCAAGAGAAAGAGCGAACGGAGAGAGAGAGAGCGCTACCGAAAGCAAGTACAAAATCCCTTGGTGCAAAATGGCATTGTAAAATTGGGTTCAATCAAGGCACGGTCGTCACCAGGTGTTGTCGCTTTAAACAGGGTTGCGTGTTCTTCATTTCTTTTTGTCATATAAAATACAGACTTCACTCTGAGCTCATATATTTCATGTTCATATAAATGGCGGCCTTTTGCATTTTGATGTCCAATCAATGACCTACAACCGTGTGGATAGTAAATTCAAATATCGTTGCAGAATCGTACATACATATCTACTTGTATTATATGAGCGTTATTTTGTGTATGCGTGCGGATGTTATATATATATATATATATAAAATGTCTGTTTACAACATACCGTAACGAAACGAATTGTGTCGTCTCATATTGATGTTAAAGATATCGATTATAATAATTCTAATAATTGCAATTATGATCATAATTATTCGTCTTTATTAATATGAATTATACAGATAACGAAATATCGTAACGTGTTAATTGAGCATTATCATTAAGTAAGCCCATACCAATAATAACATAAACATTAATAAAAAATTAACGGGAATGATGAGAATGATAAGATAATGAATTTAATAAATATTATCGTATTTGTAAATCGAGTGGAAATAATAATAACCTTAGATGAGTATTGAACATTTTTTTATGTGCACGAATCAATTCAGTAGAATATCTACACTCTATAATTATAATAATTATTCTAACAAAGAACATCAGGATGAATATAACAACAGTGGTTATTGACGATTACGTCTGTTGCTAATTAATAATATTACTATATATATTTATTCAAAAAGTGAGTGAAAAAAATAAACGAAGCCTCGTGTTTGATCGTAAGAAAAGTGGATAGGTCGTTTATACTCACAATATAGTATAGCTTAAAATTAGGCTAAAACGACGATTCATTTCAATATCGGCCTTTCGAGGTGCCGCATAATGAAATGCCAAATACAGCATTGGCGGCGCGGCGACTTTACATCTTTGGTGGATAAAAACAATAGTAAATAAAGTTAAATGTAGTAAGTAATTAGTACATATTGCCTGCTTATTAGTTAATACAGGGTTAATGTAATAAAAGTATGAGGTACACTAGAAGCAATTAGCCTACTGCCGAGTATGCTTAACTCAAATGATGGTAGATATCAAAAACCTTTTTTCTGTCGAATATGTTTAAAGCTGGGTGATCTCAGCTAATAATCCTGGCGCTGGCTCTTTCATCAATTGGAGTTTGAAAAGTAAAATGTAGAATTATATATATATATATTTAATTCTGCTTGTTCAGATAGTTTTTGTGTTATTCGTTTCCAATTTCTAATATCGCGATTACGCAAAAGATCTTGGCATTTTAAGGGCAGGTTTTTGATTACAAATCGAGATTAATTAAATAAAAGATGCTCTGCACCAATATAGGACAGTAAATGGTCAACTTATAAAGAGTATTGTCCTGTATATTCTATTTGAGGTGAGTCCCTTACTATTTTGAAAAAAAAAATGATAAACCTTTGTTATATAGCGTTTGAGAAACTCGTTTCTGAGGCAAACTATAAAAAATTAGAAATTAGTGTCAAACTTTATCAACTTGGCCTAGTACTTGGAACTACTCAAAGGATGCATTAGCGTCTGTTGAGTAGTTCCATCTACACATCAGGTTCTTCTGAGTATTGCCTTTAGAGTCAAATGAAACAAGATTACCATTTAATTAGTTAGTTTTGGAAAAGGATCATACTTTAACAGAACGTATCATTTTGAACGCTGATGAGGTGCATGCCAATGCAAGTCAGCCTATCTTCCTATAGCAAGTTTGGTGAGGAACTTAAAAGAACTGCGTTTAAACTTTCCTATTTATGTTATTATGAAAATTAACGAGCAATTAAATCGACAAAGCAGACAACAATGTCAACATGTGCCTCGAAATATCTGCCAACATAATGTGTTGGGTAAAACACCTCAACTGCGTAATCTTAGCTACAAACAAATTATTCACCCTAAGTAAAAAAAACAACTGTTTTAATAATAATGTATGCCCTCATTTACTTCAATCAGTTTAGTCTTGGTGACAATAATTTGCTCACAATACATTTACCAACGAGTGTTCGTTCAAAGCTACTTTCTTACTTAATTTTGCTAAACCAGTCTATTACTTCCCAGTATTTTTTTCTGTGTCCATTTGTATCAACATACAAGGCTCAGTTGAATGATAAAAGCTACGTAGGATTTCCATAACTGCTCCCCTTTCTACCTCAAGTACGAAACCCCTACTGAAGCAGTTTCTCGAAATACATCACCTGAAATCGAGCATGCGAAGAAAGTGGAGAGAAAACTACGAACTAAAATGTCGCCAGGACAGTTTGTTCAAATGTCTAAGAATTGTATCGAACCAATAGACTAACTTCCTTACGCATACAACAAATGATTTTAACTCGTATGGTAAACTTATCGAGAATTGCAGAGGAACCTTGATCCTTGAAGATGCTTATTTAACTTGATTGTAAGTATTTTCGAAGAACTTTTCATATTTTCCTTTCATTCACGGCATCCACATTTGCCTTTGTTAAATATACTGAAAGACGCTGTTAAGAATTCGCGCCATAGGTGTTTCGTTACAATGCACAGACACTCAAGTTCATAATCCGTTCTGTTTTTTTCAACGTTTACTCCTGATACTCATGGCATGTTCTAGACGTACGAACCAGCATCAATCGCCGTCAGTTCCTCTTTATGTTACACTCGGTCTAATACAACACGCGCCGACTATAAGTATGGCGAACATCCGCTTTCCTGGTCCCTAGCTTCTCCAAACATTATTAACTTCCCAAAACATGAAGTGCTATGACAGAATCAACTTGATGGCAGTGATCTTCAACAGTTAGATCAAATAATTCGGCAGATGTTTGTACTCTAGCCGCTATAAGGTGCCTTCCTCGTAGGCAAAATATTCTGATTTAATGATTTCCGGAAGTGGCTACGGTGAATTTTCACCTAACCATTTGCCTAGTATAGAAATATAGAAAGCGAAATTTCTAAGCGGTCACATCATTATGCCATAACACTTCCGTAAACATTTTAACGAAATGTAGTATTTCCTGAGGCAATATTAATATAACATAATCGAACATGTGCATTTGTTGGGTATGTTTGTTTTTGTGCTCCAGATTTATCATGGTAGATTACGTGTTTCATTATGTACCGACAACCTCATTATTGTAACACTACCAATAACAAAAACTAAAACTAATAATCGTAATAATAATTAAAGTACCACACAGGTTGTCAAGATAGCTGGCGGAGAAGGAGCGATTTCGCTTAATACTAAAATCATTTTTCAAACATCTATTCACTAATAATATCTATCTTGATTATTGTATTTTCTATTGTGTTTCGAGATTGTTAACTAGCGTCCGTTGAAATATAAAACTATTCAGCAAATGATGAATCTAGGTGACGCGTAGAAGATGTTCTGAAAGATAAAAACGAAAGCACTTTATAGTATGTCACAGCAATTTTTCTAAAAACTTATAGTATTGTGCTATAAATTATGTATGAACAACTGAAGAATATTGCAGCAAGCCATGATAAGTTGCTATACCGATGGATACCCAGTAACTCCCAGCGAAATAGTAAATATTTCATTCATAAGGGTAACCGTCACAAGAATACAAAATGAAACTACTCACTTTCCATTGGAATTCGGAGTGATTCCGTGTCCTTTATTGTAACTTCATATAACTTATTTCGGTATTTATATCGAATTCGAAGGACTTTTTCCTCTCCCGGACATGGATCATAGAAACCGGGAAGATTTGCCTTAAAATCAGTAAACATACAGAAGAAGTTTTACCTATGATGACCTACTAATTCTCGATACTTCGATGTCATCAGTCCTAACCATTCCTTCAAAATAGCACGTTTACTTTGACCTTTATGCTGATACGTAAAAGGATCGTCAATACCTTTGAAGTATCACCTAGAACGAGCCGTGAGTTAGTTGCAAGCACTTGAAGTGGTATTGTAACCGAAACGACCTCCCTCGATACTGAATTTCCGTAAGATCGGGCGTCCGGTGAGGAAGACCCTATATTTAACTCCTCAGCTGATCCGTATTCTGCATACACAATAATCAAACCCGAACGATTCTCTTCCGTTGAATAATTTCTCTGGTACGTTTCCCTCATTAAAGAAATCTGTAATAGTAGAAAATCCAAGCTATTTTAGTCAACCTAAGTACAAGAGATTACTTGGGATATTACATTTTACTATATTTTAAAAATAATTAACAAGATAGAGTCTATTCTTGTAAAGTGCATTTTTGGCGGCATTACTGACAGCCTTATCGTTTGGCCGTTGTGAAATGCTTAGCCAAGACAGTTCTGGCTGCAAAAAAAATTAAACTCAGTTTTTTTTTTTATTATCCCAAGAAGCACGCATGACGAGATTAATCAAGAAAATAATCATGAACAGGAGAACAGTACATGCATATACGGGCCTGGTTAGAAATTGTTTTTTTTAGTGGAAGTGGCAACAAAGCGAACATACCGATGCTTCTGCATTCTTTCGCTGCTCAGCTACCTTTTGGCGATTCGCTTCACGAAGCTTTGCGGCCTCTCTGAAAGGGTAGAAAATTGCAAAATGTCTCATTAACCAAAAAAGATTGGACTTAGTCGCTTAAACAATTGATCTAGAGCCATTACCGGGGTAATGCTCGAAGTGAAGCTGACCGACACGGTTATTATCGGCTTCATTTTTGAAAGCCTACAGATTTCTGAGTGCAGCATAGCAAATAAGACAATAAATATGTAGTGCCTCTTTGCAGATGTTATGATTCATTCGTCTGCCTAATTATTAATTTTGTAATTAGCTAGCAGTCAATTTCGTGGAAAAAAAGACTACTTACGCCTTCTTCTGGCTAGCGTAATAAGGCTCAACGGCGAATTTGTTAATTACAAAGTAAATGATGAGTGGCACCACACTGCCATATAAGATTGCACTTGGATTAACGTTCTGTGATAACTGTAAAGGAAACGCAAAGGTTTGATTACCCCGAATAAACGTAACCTGCAACCAGTAACAACAAAAGACACAAACAACATCCATACCTTTAATGTCTATCGCAACAAAGTTATATCGGCTTCTTCCTTATAGGTCATCGATTTCTGATGTATTCATCCCGCACAGTAATAAATTAATTTGCTCTTCGAAAATGCTCACGAAAGGAACTCCAATGTCACTAATCGTATAAACAGAGCCGTCATAATACGAGAAATTATGCATTCACTAAGCTCTTCTTTTAATAACTATAATTTTTTGAACGCATAATGGCAGACGGCATCATCTTGCCAGAACCATACTTTGATTGAGTGAATCATATATTGGTTAACCCAGTTTCAACCGCAGAAAAATAAGGTGCTCAAATTGCTTAACATGCCCTCAGTTACTGCATTAATGACTGGTCTCGAGCAAAGCGTTCGTGAATATTTAAGGCACGAAGCAACAAACAAAAGTTCAACAATGTTCAACTTTGCGACAAGACAGTGCATAAGGTTCTACAAGGTGTAGCGTGTCTATCGCGCAGCTTATCGTTAGTATTAGGCCTCGAACCAACTATTTAAAAAAATAAAAAAAAAAAAGATTAATCGTCTGGTTCAAGTCAATAACCAAATGGCGTCGTCTGCATGAACGTCTTGGTTGTAGCGTAAATATTGAAACTAAGTAAATACACTATAGAATGGATAACCCTCACACTAACTGTACTGTGTATACCTTTAAGGCACAGTTAGCAATGAATGAGATAAAGCACGACATCAAGTGGAGCAGCGCAATGTACTATTAGGAATTGTTGTTTATGTATTAAATATAAGTACAAACCCTATAGTATTATGGTAGGTATGTTTAACTTTTCATAAGTATCACATCTTCCTCAAATAGCTCGCAATAGTGCACAAACCTTGAGCACAACCCCTTGCGGGTGTCCAACGGTCATCGAGGCACCCAACGTATTCAGTTTAGATATCTTCGTTTTACAGCCATATGTAACTGTCATAAAAATCGTTCCTAGCCTGCAACCAGAGGATTAGCAAGCACTCAAATCAATAGTGATTACGTTAAGAGGGTGCTCAAATTATTTCGACACGTAAATTGACGGATAGATATATCGTCAAGTGTAGATTAAGATTTTGAAATAAATTCTGATTAAAGCTTACGTTTGGCCGTTTTGTTAGTATAAATACCTGCTCTAAGTAAATGAGAAAACTATTGCAATATTTTTCTCTTCAAGCCCATTTGAGCTCCTAAATAAATATACTTTATACTTGTACGAACTTCGCGGAACAGTGTAGTTTCGTAGTATCCCATAATTTGTGTACGTAGCTTATGCCAACGTAACTATCGACAACACCGATCTGCAAATTAGACGAGATGTGCGTGTTGTTACTGGACCAGGCAAGCGTCGCTGTCATGCTTTGCTGGTAACCCTCTCGCCAAGTCAAGTAGCCGATTGTATGTGCGCTTAGCTGGCGGGCCAAAACCATCGATACCCCTGGTTGAAGCTCTTGCGACATGGGCTGCAGATCCACTTGAGCTGTTATAAAACTAAGAAGTCAGATCATAAAAAAAATAGACTGTTTATAAGTATATAATTTGGAGAATTTCGCCTGGTCATGATTCATTTCGGTGATACCGAAGCGCAATACATCGACAAAAAGTATGCATATGTGATCGACGTATAAATAATAAAAAAAAAAAAACATTTGCGCTATTATGCAGCTGTCAAAATCTGTCTCGGAATTTGATTCAGTAAAATAAATGCTGACCCTTTCGTGTAGCAAGGCTTTACTCTGGTCATAAATATGTAATAGCTAAAAACAAAACATATACGCGTACTCCTATCAACAGACAAAAAAATTGGTTTTCATTACAAGCCTGCGCAATGAGTGTTGCCACTTCGATACAGCTGTCACAAATAATTATTGCGTTTTAAACCTACAAAAATGAAGTGTTCATACAATCGTTTCAACTAAAAAGGAACGTACACTTTACCTAGCATAAACGTGAAACTTACTGTTTCGAATCGAACGTCTTAACGGCCTTAGCTGACCCACTGAATGCGCTGCCCATGCCTGCTGTCAGCTCCATCCATAGCGTATTCGAAAATATGTGACGCCAGCTGGCCGCTAACGTCCCGTAGCCGCGTCCGTTTTTCGTTAGCAACGTGCCCGACAGCGTCGTCGTATCGATTTCCGACAGAGGGGCTTCCACTGATTGGCGGATCATCATTGTACCCATTTCAAGGTGAGGGAAGAAGCTAAAAACACGTAAAAACAAAAAACATCCACCGCGTGAACGGTGCGACTCCAGTTTATTTTCATGTTGTTTATGAAAACCTAGAGCCTCGCTGCTACAAGGACGTTCAGCTATTACCCATAATTCAGCACATGATTGTCGTATAATTAGCTGCGCATACCATTCATATTCGTACAGTAGATATTATTACAACTACAGAAAGGATCAGGCAACGTGCGTCTATGTACACCAGTCTCATAGAGTGTAGAGATCCGGCCAGTCGAGGCAGACGTCACAAGTCAACCAAAAAAATCCTTGCCACACAAACCTTGCCTCCTCAGAATCGTAGTCATCTTCTTCGTCGTACAACGTATCAAACATGTCAGTGGCATCAACCTCCATCGAAATGAGTCCTGTGGGGTTCGTGCGCTGTTGGAGACGTCGTTCCTCCTGAAAGATAATGGAAGTCGATTCGACTTTATACTAACGTAGGCGATTATTTGGTTGCAGATTTGACTGAACAAAAGTTATTCTAAGGAGTATCATTGTAGGTACTGGGTAAATCACAAGCGGCTACATTCGACAGAAAGTCTTCAGCATGATTCATTTGACTACTGTGGTTCTTACCTGTTGTCTGGCCAACCGTTCGTACTCTTCCCGAATCTCCTGGGCAGTTTTAGTCCGTAACGTAATTTGCCACCCGCTCTGCTCGAGTCCCGCTGAGCCGAGCGTATCATAAATTGCCCGTCGTTGAGGGTCCGCCAACACTAAATTAAGTTACAGTTAGTAAAGAGCAAGCTAAGATTTATGAACAAGAGCCAGCGGTAGCCGCATATAGGCTATTTTTATTTTTTTTTTGTGTTTGACAAATAAGTGGGCACAGATAATGCGAATCAGAACCAATTCAAGCTCGAATTTTTTTTCTTGTATATTAATGCTCAACGTTAACTTGTTTCAACTACATTGAACCTTATTTTGCATGCTATTTCATACGCATGTGATTTATATATTTCCTTAAAGATACTGCTTATTGCAAGAACTTGGTTCAAAAAAATATAAAACGTAGAAAACACATTGCCCATACTTAGGAGGGACGACTTATTGTTTATTGCCGGGGAATTATTTAATTGAACGTTTTGGTAGTGTTTTAACGTGCTGATATAATATCATTATAATTTTAACAGACAGCCTGTGAATTTGAACTACCGGTGAAGACACAGCTAATCGTTGAAGTTCGGAACTTATAGCAGAACATATCCGTTTCTCGCTCCGCCTTTTTCTTAGTCGTCCACATGGAGATCAAGTTGCTATGGATCTATTTTAACTTCAAATTTTTACCCAACTTATTCTTATTGTATCCTATCCAACTTGTTGATACATATCAGAACTTTTAATGTTTACATTTGTTTCATCAGCCGTAATGCATATTCTCGACCTTATGACCTATCCCAAAGATCGATGTTATTCGGTAGATTTCTTTTCAGTGCAGTGAACCTCAAGCTAGTATCACTTTTCCGTCGACTCTTGATAGAACCTTCACTGAATCCGTTATGCAGACAGCTATATACTATACGTTATTGTGGCTGTATCAGTTCAACTGACCGTCGTGTGCATGTCGTATCTGGTTGAATAGCACCTCGGCATTTTGTTTGTCTCGGTCGTTCAAGTGCTTATCGGGATGGTAGACGCGGCTAAGCATCCGGAAGGCAGCCGTAATCTCCTCTGCCGTCGCCTGTCCTCAATACATTGATGTACAATTAGATAAAAGCAGAGGTGTGATAGGTTAATTACTTATTTACGGTCGCGCTGTCGAAGACAACAGCGAACTCGTGAAATAGAACAGGATTAGCGGATCAACACGCGACTGAAGATCGCGCACAAAACAAAATTTACTTTTGGTGGGACGCCGGCGAAGAAAGACGTTGCGATTATGGGCCAGGATACGTTGTATGCTCCCAGCCATCTCTCTGATCGCTTACCGTTCGTGAAACATTGAGCGTTGCATAATAATCGTCATCAACGTTGCTTCTTTTGTCTTCGTGTTGCCCGTCCGTGGGCGCCGCCATCTTGATTACTAGCTGGATTTTGCACGCCGGATGGATGTGTTGATGTTTACATATTTGTATTTGGCGCTTCTCGAGCTACAAGTCAGGGGAGAAGAAAAACGTGAGTGAAACAGACCCGGAGCAGCCACCTATAGTGTTAAAAAGTTTGTGGAATTAGGCGCGCACTGCCGTTTATCAACCTATTAACTTCATATGCAACGGTAGACAGAAACGGTTAAATAAAAATTTGAAGTACCTTATAAAACACATTTAGTAGGTCAAACGTTATCAGTTTAAATGAAATCAAGCGCCATTTCTCTATAATATCAATGATTCGTATCCAAAAACTGCGATCGATTAAAATGTCATGCACAAAAATTTCTGACAAAGACATAGCATCCTGGCGCTCTTCAAAGACTAGGATGTAACAGATGTGCACGTCATTCGTACGTTTCATCTTGCACAAAAACCTGGGACAGGAAAGACCGCGGTGCAAATGAGCATTAAATTGCAAGTTCATTTGAGCTTTAACGTGCGCCTACTTTTTACAATTCTTAAGAATTTCCGGAATAGATATATATATATATAT